TGCAGTCAACATAATGTACTGCATTAACTACTGTACTGCAACAGTGCATTCATCCATCAGTATAACACCACATCATTGTCATCACAATTCAAATTGACAGCCATCTGAAATAAAGTATATAAAACTTTATTTCAGATATAAATAAAATATATAAAAGTTCTAAAAGTGAACAGTGTAACTGTGCTTTGTCCTTCTGTTCTCTGTGCAGCTCTGCCTCCTCCTTCTGTGATCGCTGACAGCATCACCAACAACTCCATGAGCCTGTCGTTCAGCTTAAACTCCCAGTACGATGTAAGAGTGCATCTTTAAAACACCTCTTCTCTTTGCAGCCTAAGAAGACTGTGTTCTGTCTGTATCTGCATAAACATAACTGAGGATTCTCCTGTGTTTCTTTAAGGTGAAACAGTACATCGTGATTCTGTCCTGGCAGTTTGACACCCACATCAAGGAGAGCAAGAACTACACAGTCAGAGAGGGGATTCTGAAAGGTACCATTTATTAGCAATGTGTCTTTGTGGACACATTGGTGCCATCTGAGTTGAAGTGCTACAGTCCTTTATCTGAAAAAGCCATCGATCATCATTTCTGTCCAGGTTGTTGACTCTGTGCTGTCTGTTTCCAGCTACAAACCTAACAGCAGGAACAGTATATGAGGTTGCTGTGTGGGCTCACACCAGTATAGGAGACAGTCCCACAGCTCTGTCCCATCATCAGACCACTGGCACCCAGCCAGACAGACCCCTACTCAAAGCCAGGGCTCTCAACCAGACGGCTGTGGACTGCAGCTGGACCATCAGTGGACACCCTGCACAGGTACAACACACAGCAGATACACACACTACAGAGCTTTAATGATGTACCATACGTACAAAACAAAAATCACTACCAACATAACACACCTGATCTCTAACCAGTCAGTGGACAGCTTGCATTGTGGATAATGTAGGCATCAGGTTTTGACAGGATGAAAAATGGATGAAATAAAAAATTACAATATTTTCTTTTTGATCACTTTTTAAACTGTTCATCAGGTCCAACGTTGTTATAATGTAATGATGGATGAGTGGAGTGCTCTTTTAATGTGGTATAATAAAGTTATGTCACAATGAAAAACAGCTAATTTCAGACGGCGGTTTGATTCCCGTTCTTCCCAGTCCATATGTCGAAGGTTCCTTGGTCAAGACACTGAACCCCAATTGCCTCCGATGGCCAGAGCAACTCCTTGCGGGGACAGCGTCACCGTTGGTGTGTGTGTGTGTGTGTGTGTGTGTGTCAGAAAGGTGCCACAGCAGATGGCTGCCTCAGTTCTGTACAAGAGACAAGTCCTTGTGGGTGGCACTGTGGGACAGTCACCTCACAGCAAGAAGGTTGCAGGTTCAAGCTCCAGCCGACCTGGGATCGTTCTGTGCAGAGTTTGCATGTTCTCTCTGTGCCTGTGTGGGTTCTCTCCAGGTACTCCAGCTTCCTCCCACAGTCCAAAGACATGCAGCTTAGGTTGATTGGTGACTCTATAAGTGTCAGTGATTGACTGGTGACCTGTCCAGGGTGGACCCTCGTCTTGCCATGTCGGTTGGGATAGGCTCCAGCCTACAACCCTGTTCAGGATAGGTGGTGTAGATAATGGATGGATGGATCTAACATACTTGGCCAATAAAAGTGATTTAATTAAATTCAACAAAAGCAAAACTACTCCTGCCGGTGTAATGTAGAGTGTCTTCAGAAAGTGTTCAGACCACTTTGCTCTCTGCATGCTTGGTGTTGTAGATTGAATTTTATATTGATCAAAATGCCATTTTTTTTCAGTAATAAAAAAGAGAAAAATAAACATATTACCACTACACACAGGATTATTGTCTGCTTTTTAATAAAAATTTATAGAATTACCTCTTCAGACCTGTCTGTTTAAATAGACACCAAATGCTAAATGGTGTAACTGCTAACACTTCATATCTACTTTCTTAACTGGGTCTAAAGTAGATGTTACTTTATGTTAAGAGGTCATCGGCCTAAAGAGTTTGGGGACCACAGCTCTATAGCACCAAGCTTCAGTGCTTCCACAGAGAACAGAACATTTAGATTCTCAAAAAAACAAACACATCCTCTGCAATAGAGCCTTTGATGTAGTTTTATAAATGAGCACACGCACTCACTAAAGAACCCTTTAATAAACCACTGTACTAAGTAGACTCTTGTTTTGTTTGTGTGTGTGTGTGTGTGTGTGTGTGTGTGTGTGTGTGTGTGTGTGTAGGTTTATGGTGTGTTTTATGCCACCTCCTTCTTGGATCTGTACCGGAGTCCTCGCCTGGTCCACACCACTTCTCTCAGCCTCACAGTCACAGTGGACAGTGATGAACAGTATCTGTTTCTGGTGAGTTGTTTTGTGATCTTACTAACTTCCTCCATTCCTTTCCCTGAGAGACATCTTGCAGCCTCTTCTTGCCTCTGGATCTCCTGTACAACCAGCTTCTTCCTGTCAGCTGCAGTCGCTTTGCTCCTATAGGCTGTGATACAGTATATTTAGACCAAATCCACCTTGTCTGTGCTCAACCCTACAATGTCTAAGAGCTGCCTGAGCCTGTAAAAGTGTCTCCCTTGGGTTCCACTTCTTTCCTGCTGCGACTGTTGATGCTGGTGACCACACTGCTATATGTCTAAATTCTGACAGTCATGTCCAGTCTAGATTTTGTACCTTTAAACCCCTCTGTTAAACTAGTAGCTCCAAAGTCGGTCCATACAGGGCCACACGACTGAAGCAGCATGAGGTGCTCAGCCACTTTCTGCATGCTAAAGTGTCCTGCTAGCTTCTCTCTACCTTTAAAATGAGGTCAGCCACCACAACAGTCGTGGCAGCAGACCAAGCTGCAGGCACAGTTTAAGTTGTCTGGGAGGCTTCACATCTCACTCCAGCTTCCTCCCATAGTCCAAAAACTGGCGACTCTAAATTGTAGCAGTGTGTGTGGTTGTCCATCTCTGTCAGCCCTGTGATAGACTGGCAACCCATCCAGGGTGTAACCTGCCTCTCACCCAATGCGATTGGCTCCAGCCTCTCCGCGACCTTCTTCAGGATAAGCAGTATAGATAATGGATGGATGGGTTCATCTCTATACTCTTAATGCCATCCACTGCCAGCTGTCAGGCAATAATGAAAAATAGCCATAGCTCACAATGACATCATAACCGAATTGTAGCAGACCTCAACAAGGTAAGGCAAATTAATATATAGAGAGAGAGAACGAGAGAGAGAGAGCCTTCCAACATCAAGGCCATTCAGAGGACTTTACACAAATGATAAAGGAATTAAACAAGATACATAAAAGCAATATAGAATAGATTATTTAAAGAGTTAAATAAAATAGAAGCTAAAATGTAATCAAACATGAGGATAAAATATGTGCACACAGTGCAGGACAGGGTATGAATAAAAAGTCCCAAAGTTAACATAATAAAATGCAGTGACTAACAGAGAGGTTTGATTTAAAAGAACTGAGAATTGTAGCAGACCTCAAGTTTCCTTTAGCTTGTTGTGGTGTATGAAAAGCTGAATATGACTTTTTCAAATTAAGACTAAAATAATAAATAGATCAAACCTAATATGTATTTAATTCACAGTGATATAAAGCAGAGCAAAGCAGAACATATTTAGTTAAGAAGCATCCACCAGTAAATGCTCTGTAGTTCTGCTTGATAAAGTTGTTAAAGGATTAATCATCAAAATAATTTAGATGAATAAGAATGGCATCATGGGATACTCCATGAAAACCCAGTATGATTAAAACAGTCTTAGTTGACGTGCTTTTCCTACATGTAGGCATCATTGTATTTATTGACTAATGATACAGGCTATACTCTAGGTGGTACATTTCTAGAATGGACAAAATGAGTAGCATCACACTGAGAGTGGACGTCACTGAGTAGGTGACTGAAGACGGTATTAGTTTCATTACCAAACTGATTGTTTGTTATGCTATTGTTCCAGTATTCGTTGGCAGTCGCCGGATGAGAGCTATCATGACTTTTGTGGTCTGCCTTCAGGTGCGTGCAGTCTCTCCCTTCCTGGGTCCTCCCTCTGACTACACTGTGGTGAAAATGATTCCCAACGAGAGGCTGCCACCCAGGAACCTCCATCGTGTGCGAGTAGACAAAATGCAGGCCACGCTGAAATGGCAGCCACCGTATGACGCCCCCAACACACCTCTGGTACGATGCTGTCTTGTGTTACTGTGATGAGAGGTACATGATGATGACAAGCCTCAGGAAAATAATCAGGAGGGTGTTTGGTGATGCTTGATGGAGTGGGATGAAAAATGGGTTTCTTCTACAGAATCAGTTTTGCAAATGCTGATATTCATACATGTGCCTTTAATACAGCAGCTGGATATTTCATGGGAAAACTATCAGGTCTTAAATGTAACAGACTCAAACCTGACATTTGGTGGATGTGTTTATTGTGTGTAAGATATTCTGTACTTTATGCTGCACATACTCTAAATCATTTAATACATTTATTTTAGCTGTTTAAAAAAAATATACCTATACACAGTCTAATCTTCACAATACTCTGAAATCTGAATTTGTATAAGCTGTTTCAGTGCACACAAGTTCATCCAACTTGGTCATCTGCTATGATGATACATGGAGTGCTTGTAAACCTAAAGACAGGTGTTTCCTTGTATCTGTAGACGTATGCAATCCATGTGCGAGACGTGATCCGTAAAGTGGAGCAGGATTACAAGCTGACCACACAGAACAACACGGTGGAGTATCTGCTGAAAGGCCTGGAGCCCGCAGGACGATACAGCGTCTCTGTGCGTCTGCGCAACATGAGCAAGGAGGCTAGCTTCACTCTGAGCACAGGTGAAAGCCACAAGTTACAGAGTTGTTTGTTTCAGCTGTAGGTAAAAACAGTCCATCCAGAATGTTAGCTCTTATTAATTATTTTTAAATCATTAATCAAATAAAAATGTTAAGGTTTGTGGGTTCCATGTTCTCCAAGGTGAAAATTTGCTACTTTTATTATCCATCACAGATAAGTACAACTGAATATCTTAGATTTTAACTGTAATGTCTGTTCTATGACTATTTGTGTAAAAAAAAAAAAATCTATAAATTCATAAATGTACATGAAATTACAATACTCATTAATGGCAGTCCTGTTTAAACTGTGCAAATGCAACCATAGTATGTAGGAGAGATGTCCCGATCAGATGCCAAGTATTGGTGCCAGTTTGGGCATATTTCACGGGATCGTATCGGCCAGAACAGAGCCAATTCTGGTCTATAAGTAGAGCTAAAGTCCTGTATTTGAGCAGACTCAGTTGTGTTTTTGAGACATGTTACACAGCCGATAAGCTGCACTATATTCAGTCCAGTTGTCTACACTGCCTGTGTGTCAGCTGGCATTTCACCCTTTCTGCGGTAGCCTCAACCTGAAGCCTTTTTTTTAGCTGTGTTTTACAATGGGTTGGATACACTGTACATACAGTAGAATTCATGCAAGTGTAGCCACTACTTCCCTCATGATTATATGTCATTGTGTAGTTTTCCCTTTTCCAAAGTGTTCCCGTGGACTTCTCTGTGTGTTTTTGTACACCAAGTGCTTCCTATGCGCACCCACTATAGACACAAGTGTTAGCCTCCTGTGATGTGCATGCGAGATGTTATGCACTGCACATCCTGTGCTTTCGGTGTAGAGGCGATAAGTTTTATGCTTTTGTCCAGTGGTGCTATGAGAGTCACCACCTTTTAGTTAATGCAGTGTTATTAAATTGACAAACAAGGATGTCTAACCTGGACTGGTTACACAAACTGTTCACATATGGATACGAAGTAGTAGTTAATATCTGCCTTGTAATGAATCTGTAGTTCGGATGGTGTCCTCCAGCTCCCAGTTATTCTTTTATTCATATCAGTAATTTAAGCAAATAAACTCAATATTTTGGAACCAGGATCTGAAATAATGCCTTTGTAACTATGCTGCAGGCTCATGTCTTTCAGCGTTAAGACATTAAATAGCACTATAACCAGTAACGTAACACTGGCTGTAGAGTGCACATTTACAATGCGCTTACAAAGAAATACATTGATTAAAAGTTTCTTCTCATCTGCTGCAGTTCCACTCTCAGCTCCCGAGGCCCTGAAGATTTTGACAGAGAAAGACCATGTGTTCCTCTTCTGGAAGAGCCTGGCAGTGAGAGAGAAGGGCTTCAATGAGAGCAGGGTCTGTCAGGGACACACCACTGACCAATATCTTGTGTTTTACATAGTGTTATTATTTTTTTCTAATCACCTACCTAAAAGATGTCCTTGTTTGTACAGCCCTTTAATCAACCATCTACAATAAGTGTGCATAGAAGGCTGGCAATGGGTATTTGCTGATATATTTGGTAATGCAGTTTGAACAAATTCCCAGTGGAGATTTCATTGTGTAATTCTCACAAAATATATAAAAAAAATAAATTTTTAAAATTGTAGGTGTTCAGAATTACTTGCTAGTATAATTTAATGGCCTATGTCTTTGTGTTCTTGTGACTTTCTTGGTATGTTGTTTGCAGGGGTATGAGGTGCACGTGTATGACAGTGTGACAAACCAGACGGCTTACCTGGGGAACACAACGGAGACGTACTTCCGTATCAGTAACTTGATGGCAGGACACAACTACACTTTCTCTGTGCAGGCCCGCTGTCTGCTCAACAGCCAGCTGTGTGGGGAACCTGCCCTTCTACTGTACAACCAGCTGACAGCAGGTACTGGAGCATATACACACTTACAGTATGTTTAAGCATCGGCTGTGGCAAAAATCACTTGAAAAAGTGTTTGGACAGATACCGTAAACAGCGATCATGGACCCGAGTTTCTGTGTATGGAGTAAATGTTCCTTTCCGCCCGTCTAGGGGCCAGTGATGCTTCCCGCAGTGAGGGCCACTCAGGGGACATGGCCGCAGTGGTGGTTCCCATCCTCTTCCTGCTGCTTCTTGCAGTGTGTGGCGTCTTGGTGGCACTCTACCTCCGACACCGCCGATTGCAGAATAATTTTACAGCCTTTGCCAACTCCCACTACAACTCTCGCCTGGGCTCTGCCATTTTCTCCTCTGGGGATGAGCTGGGTAAGAAACCTTTTCCTTTTGAGATGCATGTGGCCTTAGGCAAACCATGTGTTTGTCACTTGACACTGCAGAGGTCAGTAGTTTTCAGGACCCATCAGTGGTTGTTTCACTTAGTTGGCTGATTTAGGGTGTGCAGTTTCCACAGTTGATTGGTGGGAAGTCTGATGGGGATCACGTCTTTGTTGCTGCAGTGAAAGCGTGAAAGGTGGGGATTCTGAGAAAGACTAAAGAAACCTAAACAAAATCTAAAAATCACCTCCATATGAAACTGGAGGAGGTAAATGTAGAGTTTCCCAACATAAGGCTGTGTGGTATAACAAAATAAACAGTATTAACAAGCAAACAATGCAGAATAAGCAGTATAGACAGGCAGTAAACAATGCAGACAGACACTGAAGTCTACTGTCATCTCCACTGTTTTGAGCATGTTCACCTCCAGGTTGTTGCGGTTACACCACAGGACCAGCTGCTCAACCTCCCGTCTGTAGGCTGACTCGTCACCATATTGGATGAGACCAATGACCGTTGTGTCATCTGCAAACCTTAGGACCTTGACAGAGGGGTCCTTCGCGATGCAGTCATTGGTGTAGAGTGAAAACAGCAGAGGGGAGAGCACACATCCCTGGGGGCCACCTGTGCTGATTGTCCGGGTGCTGGATGTGGTTTTCCCCAGCCTCACCTGCTGCTTCCTTTAGCTGTGTTTTACAATGGGTTGGATACACTGTACATACAGTAGAATTCATGCAAGTGTAGCCACTACTTCCCTCATGATTATATGTCATTGTGTAGTTTTCCCTTTTCCAAAGTGTTCCCGTGGACTTCTCTGTGTGTTTTTGTACACCAAGTGCTTCCTATGCGCACCCACTATAGACACAAGTGTTAGCCTCCTGTGATGTGCATGCGAGATGTTATGCACTGCACATCCTGTGCTTTCGGTGTAGAGGCGATAAGTTTTATGCTTTTGTCCAGTGGTGCTATGAGAGTCACCACCTTTTAGTTAATGCAGTGTTATTAAATTGACAAACAAGGATGTCTAACCTGGACTGGTTACACAAACTGTTCACATATGGATACGAAGTAGTAGTTAATATCTGCCTTGTAATGAATCTGTAGTTCGGATGGTGTCCTCCAGCTCCCAGTTATTCTTTTATTCATATCAGTAATTTAAGCAAATAAACTCAATATTTTGGAACCAGGATCTGAAATAATGCCTTTGTAACTATGCTGCAGGCTCATGTCTTTCAGCGTTAAGACATTAAATAGCACTATAACCAGTAACGTAACACTGGCTGTAGAGTGCACATTTACAATGCGCTTACAAAGAAATACATTGATTAAAAGTTTCTTCTCATCTGCTGCAGTTCCACTCTCAGCTCCCGAGGCCCTGAAGATTTTGACAGAGAAAGACCATGTGTTCCTCTTCTGGAAGAGCCTGGCAGTGAGAGAGAAGGGCTTCAATGAGAGCAGGGTCTGTCAGGGACACACCACTGACCAATATCTTGTGTTTTACATAGTGTTATTATTTTTTTCTAATCACCTACCTAAAAGATGTCCTTGTTTGTACAGCCCTTTAATCAACCATCTACAATAAGTGTGCATAGAAGGCTGGCAATGGGTATTTGCTGATATATTTGGTAATGCAGTTTGAACAAATTCCCAGTGGAGATTTCATTGTGTAATTCTCACAAAATATATAAAAAAAATAAATTTTTAAAATTGTAGGTGTTCAGAATTACTTGCTAGTATAATTTAATGGCCTATGTCTTTGTGTTCTTGTGACTTTCTTGGTATGTTGTTTGCAGGGGTATGAGGTGCACGTGTATGACAGTGTGACAAACCAGACGGCTTACCTGGGGAACACAACGGAGACGTACTTCCGTATCAGTAACTTGATGGCAGGACACAACTACACTTTCTCTGTGCAGGCCCGCTGTCTGCTCAACAGCCAGCTGTGTGGGGAACCTGCCCTTCTACTGTACAACCAGCTGACAGCAGGTACTGGAGCATATACACACTTACAGTATGTTTAAGCATCGGCTGTGGCAAAAATCACTTGAAAAAGTGTTTGGACAGATACCGTAAACAGCGATCATGGACCCGAGTTTCTGTGTATGGAGTAAATGTTCCTTTCCGCCCGTCTAGGGGCCAGTGATGCTTCCCGCAGTGAGGGCCACTCAGGGGACATGGCCGCAGTGGTGGTTCCCATCCTCTTCCTGCTGCTTCTTGCAGTGTGTGGCGTCTTGGTGGCACTCTACCTCCGACACCGCCGATTGCAGAATAATTTTACAGCCTTTGCCAACTCCCACTACAACTCTCGCCTGGGCTCTGCCATTTTCTCCTCTGGGGATGAGCTGGGTAAGAAACCTTTTCCTTTTGAGATGCATGTGGCCTTAGGCAAACCATGTGTTTGTCACTTGACACTGCAGAGGTCAGTAGTTTTCAGGACCCATCAGTGGTTGTTTCACTTAGTTGGCTGATTTAGGGTGTGCAGTTTCCACAGTTGATTGGTGGGAAGTCTGATGGGGATCACGTCTTTGTTGCTGCAGTGAAAGCGTGAAAGGTGGGGATTCTGAGAAAGACTAAAGAAACCTAAACAAAATCTAAAAATCACCTCCATATGAAACTGGAGGAGGTAAATGTAGAGTTTCCCAACATAAGGCTGTGTGGTATAACAA